TCCCAATTCAAACTAACTTCTTTGGCCGAGGTCGTTCACCCCTTGGTAGAGCTCGCATACTGACCACAGAACACGGGCGAATAGGGCACATTGTTGGTTGGGGAATCCCCAACAGGGGGGGGTCGTATTTGGCCGCCAGGAGAGGGGAGGGGTCGTAATGAGTGCGGTAGCCAGTAACGAGCAGCGCAAAGGTGTCAGTGTGCTAAGCCCTGTACAGCGAAACTTGCTTTGCAGAGAACTCGGATATGTAAAAAATAGTACAAAACTTTCATTCATCAAACTAATCCGAAATAACTGGAAATATTAATAGGTCGACATCATCTCGTAAGTGACTAAACACAACAACTCATATCCTGGTTTCGCTGCGGATGATGGGGCGTGTCCGCGATCGCCGCTTGGCGCTGAGCCAACCTTGTTTTTTTCCGGCGAACGACAGGACTACCACATCGTTCGTATGTTCTCCAGCAGTTGGTCTCGCTTTATCGAATCAGCAATTGGCGGAGCACGAATCTGGCAGCGTCGACCAGGGACACACTCCATCATACGCAACGGGAAACACTGTAAACAAGTGCACAGGTTCGCCATGGACATCCCTGAATCCTGTTAACACATTTGCTCGCGTGGACAGACATTACGCTTGAACTGCACCATCCCACTACCTCTGCGTGGGAGCCTAAGCATGGCGCATCCACAAAAGAAGCTAATGGGTGTTAAAACACCTACTGCTTGTTCCTATTCCACGAAGGGATGCATTCCAGATGCATTTCTGGATAACCGAATACGTTCGCTTAAAACGATACACAGAAAGCGGATTTTTCGAGCAGCTCGGAGTACTCCCTAACAAAGCCCCAACGCGATTATAACGGAATCCCGGAAACTTCAGAAAAAGTTTGAGTAGTTTTTGGAAAGAGCAAATCTTCTAGCATTCGGCACCGGTTTCAGATTTGTAAAATGTTAAGCTTCTAGTATCTTGGTTCAAACCTGTTCAGTTTGCACTACAAAAAGTGTGCTCCCCATAAAACTCCAACGCTGATTTCTCTGTGATTTTGGCGACCTTCATAAGCGTTTCAGTACTTTTAGGAAGATCAAACCTTCCTCTACACGACTGCGATCTCCTCTTTCCCACAGGTCCGCCTTTGAGGAAATTATGGTCAAAGACACCCTACTTTTCTGACAACTCGCGCTCCAATCAAAGCACCACAACCACCTTGCATCGCTGGTCCTGCCCAGAATCCCTCCCCCGGTCCCTCGGCCTTTAATCAGCTGATTTCGGCTGGCTTGCTATCGTTCGTGCTTATTTTGTCATATTCTTTTATTATTTATTTTCCGGATTTTCTTGTGTGATATGAGTCTGCTGCTTCAACATATTAGGTTTAGGATCGATCGATTGGTTCCTGCCGTCGTTCGGAATTGGGAGAAATGCAGAATCTGCAGATTCCGCATTTCTGCCAATTCCGCGGTTTTTGGAATGACAGACGTATTTCCTTCTTCTGCAAGTTCCGCGTGGAAGTGTATTCCCTTTCAGGTTTCTCTATCATGCTCTCGTCACTTGGAACTTTTCTTGAAAACCTTTCATTGCGTCAACTTAGTCGGCCGTTTCATTCATCCATTCTCAGACGCTGAAAATTGAATCTTGTCTTTGCAAATAATTGTCCGCGAGAATAATGTTGTTGAGCCACAATATACTTGCGATACTCCGCCCACTGCCTAATTTTCAGTACACTCTGTGGAAGTTTCCCTACCGCTAACCAAAATGACCAGTGAATACTCATGGTACCAGTTAACCGATAGGTGGAATGGCATGCTTGCTAATCGGAAATCAAATTTGCTACTTTTCAGTTGCATTCTATTTTGTTTGTTACTTTGAAATTAGGAATATAGCAAGCTGCTGTCAAAAGTCGTTTTCAGAAGTTTTGCTCACTTACACTCCTTATCCCTGAGCCAGAGTAGGCGTGGCATTTGAACTTGGCACGGAACCGGTTACTCGTGTAATTCCAGTCTATGACAACTGTCACCTTGTTCTGTGTTGGACAAGACACGAGAACGATTTTGTCAGGATGAAAATATCTTACCAGAGGCGTAGACTTCTCAGGTTAAGTTCAAGGATGCAGCCACACCTACCCGATCCCGGGGCCTTTTCGAGTACAAGAAGGTGCAGTGGTGCAGCTTTGGGTTTTAGTATAGCTCCTGATCGGTCCTTGTGAATGATTCGCTCCCTAACCCTTATCCTATAAAGGTCTCCAATACGAGTCTCACTCTTCTCTTGTGTGCTTCTTACTGTTTTGAAATCTGCTTCCGCATAAATCATTCAGGCTGACCGTGCTTCAAAAGAGATCAGTAATTAGTCAGAAGAATTAGCAGCGATCAGGTGCGTGACAACCATAAGAGTTGATTAACTCCAAGCACTTTTTCCTTCGAACCCTATAAAAGACAGTTTATGGGCTGGTGTTTGGTTCATCGAAGCTCTCGAACAAGTTGTTTTAGCACTTGAAGTTTTCCATCTTTGAAGTTTTCTCAGGATTGCCTTTCTGGCAATATTTGTTCAGCAAGCTCTGAAACCCGAAGCATTTCATCTCAGCATTTGCAGCGCTGCAGTCTCTAGTCCAGGTTAGCTGTGCGCTAGGCGTCTCCGAAAGCAAAAAACCTCCATTGACTTTTAAAGCTGTCAATGGTAATACGTTCCATGGTGTGTTGACTTGGAAAAGCACAGCCTGTTTATGTCATGTGATATCAGATTGTGCTACGAAAACCCTCGTAATTTATATTTCTGTGGAGAAAAAAACCAAGCCGTAAAAAGAGGGGGGAGGGTCATACCGAACCCCCAGAAGGGGGGGGTCGTACGGACGACCAAATCCCCAATCAATCATGTGCCCTGCGGGCGAAGGTTCTGCGCGCCACTTCCGGGTGACGTCTCTGCTTTAACTCAGATACTTTTCCGACTTTTTATGATTGTTGTAACGGGTTCCTCATCAGCTGGCCTGTCAACCTGGGCATGACGCTGGAATCGTTCCCGTTTTTGCAAGGCGTGGTTTGTGCCGCAGGGATCGAACGGTTAGCTCAGAGTAGGAACATGGGTCCTACTCTTAACCACTCGGCTATCCCTGTTAACGGTCACATCAAATGAATTGACCCGCTTGCTGGCAACTGATCTCTTTATATATATCTCTGTCAACTGTAAAACGAGAGTTTCATTTCTCAGTTGAGAAAACATCGCATTATGTCTTAACTCTTGATTCATGGGTTTGAAACACAATATACATCCAGTATGGGCTATTCTTCACTTGTCTATGTTCGTATTCTTCGAGTTGTGGCGAAAGAAGAGGTGCGAAAAAGTGTACTGGACAAACCAGATACGACAGATAGCATCACTACCCCTCTCATGAGTGCCCCTACCACCCAAACTGCTCCCTACAACGTACCTCAAGGCAAGAAGTGTGCTTGCTGGAACGTGACTGCGGAATGGGCCACAGCTCTTTTTTCGAGGATAATGTTCTGAGTCTTCTCTTTCCCATATCCGTCACAATACGTACTGAGTATTTTAGATACAAGTTTAAATGAGTAAACAACTCTGACAGAACTTAGCCTTTCCACTTTTCTGGTGACGAGCTGAATAAATCACCCTATAATCTGGAGTAGAGAGCGCATTTTGCAGAGACGCACGCCACAGCGCGCGCGAAAAATTGTTAGTCAGTGCAGTTGTGTCTTTTGCCGCAGTTTAGTCTTCCAGTCAGTTGTCAAATACCTCTTATTGAATACCAGTTTGGCTGACGCGCACTACTGCGCGTCCACCTGTGGTACTGATTACTGACAGTATTTCTGTGCTGACCGCTGACATGTGGCTTGATGCCTTTTCAAAATTCGGCTCATTTCATCGTATTTCACCATTTTAATGAACATTTGCCAATGTCTGATGCTTATCTCATTTCCAAAAACACCCGCCAGCTTTTAAAAATCGGTCTGATGGCAGCTCCTATCATTCCTCAGTGGCTAACGACTCCAAGCTTTTACTTTTTGTGCGGCTCGAGAGTTTAGCGGTCTGATCAATAAGGAAGGATAGAAACTGTGTGGCTCACTAAGCCTTTGGCCATTGATTTTTGTACCACGGCGGCCAAGCTCAGTCACAAGAAGAGTAAGGAGGCAAAGAGATACTCACTCTTGTGAGCCCTCGTCAGGCATTATATCACAGCTTATGTCTCATCACTGAAATCTTCCACCACTTTTCTTAACCACCTCTGAATCACTTGTTGGAGGGCAACTCCCCAGTGTTGTTACGACTCGTGTTATGAAAGGCTATGGTGTCTTATCAGCTGTTATCACGTCTTGAGGATAATGTTCCCATCCTGCTCCCTAACATACTTTGAAGCAACGTCCTACCGTCGCTGTGACGCGCCTAATTGATGAGTCTCCCTTTGTAAGGGCTCTTATTATCTCATCAGCTGTTATCACTCTCTGCTACTCACCAACAATGTTCCCATCTTGCCCCCTATCTTACTTCTGGAAGCAACGTCCTACCGTCGCTGTGACACACGTTATGAATTTGGTGACCCTCCCCTCTCAAGGCTCCCTATGATATCTTATCGGCTTTTATCACTTCCTGCCATCCATCATATCAGTTTGAGCGCTCTCTCGCTGTCTTGAAGGAAGTTATGAACTCCCGTTCAAACATACACACATACAGACACACACACCAACAGACAAACTTAGCGGATGATATATAGTAGGACAGCTCATTAATATCAATAAGGATAAACAAAAACACGCAAAATTAAAAAGGGGCAAGAGGCATTCGCGACATCCGGAGCGAAGGTGTGGTTTGTTCCCGAAAACAGACTACACATTTGCAGCCACATCCTCTCGGTAGTATTGAAATAGGATTCATTCCTCTTGCCGGTTTTCCAGATAGTTCTCTCATTTGAGTGGACAAAAGATCACTTACTAGTCTTATAAGCAGAGCTTTCGATTTTACATGAAGAGGAACTCTACCCCAGTAATCTGGTCAGGTAATTCCGTGGTGACTGTGAAGACACCCACCGACTCGTACACAGCTCGGCAAGTGATCGTCACTGCGCCTCCTGTCGTGGCGTCAACAATTCAGTTCACTCCACCGCTTGAACCGCAATTTACTCAATTCCTCGGTAAGTCCATTTCAAGCCTTCAGCTGTCAACACCTAGCTCTAACCCTAGTTTCTGCTTCAGAGAGATATCGTCCTAGTGGTCGAGCTTACTATTTCACCATGACATTTGCTAGCCCTTTCTGGAGAGGGAAAGGAATGAGTGGGCAGGTGAGCGCCTCATTCTAATTTCTATAGAAACGAGTGAGTGAACAGTAGCATGGTGACCGAAACAGATTGATCAATAATCAGTATAGGGGAAAAAACTCATTAGAGTGTTCACGGAGAATACGTATCTCGCTAACGAGAAGTTTTTCTTTTCAAGGTTAGTATTAGTTGTTTTTCAGGTCATCTACGTCGATTTTTTCGACTCAACTATAATCGCAGTAAGAAAAAGTGCAGGAAAATACTCGTTGCGTTTTCTCATATCATTGGGGAATCTCATGATCGGGTAAAATGCCCAGTCATGTGATGGGATCTAATTGGATTTCGTTGTAACGTGGGAACTAACCCGATTGATCTCTCGCTAATATTTCTGTAAATCAATACCAAACACCAAGTTTTGGATTCGGAGTAGGCGAAGGACCAATGATCTCTCCAGTTACAATGTCACTATTTCTCCTCCGTAAATACAAAAGAAGGAACAATACAGATATCTGTTATACAAAGGCAAAATTACTGAGGAAGAACGTACGAAATCGAGGGTTTTCATCCTTTTACGTTCAGATTATCCACACCAATCCGCGGGGTCCAATAGTATGGCTGACGACATTTGATATTGGAAGGCCGACAATGTGCGGTGAGTGAGCTCTCTGAAACCGCTTTGAAGCACTTCAAAATTTCAACTACTGCGCTTCATTGTAATTAAGGGGGGCGGGGGGCTGGGTGGTCGGCACGATGATACACTGAGCAGAATCCGCGCCAGGGTCAAGTGTTGGTGGTCGTATGACCTGCTAGGAAGAGGGGTGGGGGTCGTATGCACAAGTGTCAATAATGAACAGAGCAGTAACAGCAGTAGTAGAACGCTACCTTCGCACTAAATGCTTTGTCTGAAGCGCGGAATTATAGTCAATTGGAAATTTATGACAAATTAGGTCGCTATAAACGAAACTACAATAATGCCACAAGTCTGCTAAATCCGGGAATGGCAAGAAACTCATCAGCTGTCTCAGAAAATTGTCTGGATCAAATTGGGTCCATATCCTATCCTACTATATGTAATTCGCTAAGTATGTCTGTGTGTGTGCCTGTCTGCTTGTCACGTAATTCATAGCGCCGGTCCCAGCAGCAGTGAGACATTGGTTACAAGCGTTGAGATGTAGGGGATATGGCGGGAACACTGTTAGTGGGTGACAGGAAGTGATGTCGGTTGATAAGATTCGACAAGGGGCGTTAGAAGGAGAAGGATATCATATTCATAACGCGAGTGACAGCATCAACTAGCTCTTGATTCCAAGATATGATATAGGTATGGTCCAAGAACATATTGGTGGGGGACAAGAACTGTGAGCTGCTGATAAGATTCGAAAAGGGGCGTTAGAAAGGTGAGGTCATCTTATTCACAGCGCAGGTCACAGCATCAGCTAGGCGTACGTCTCCACAGAAGATATGAGAGGGTAAGATGGGAACGTCAACCGTGGGTAACTGGAAACGATAACTATTGATAGGGGTTGATGGGGGAAGCTGCAGTCGTCGTCGCTGTTCAAGGTGGTTCAGGCTATCAAAGCATAGAGATTTTGTAATGAGGACATTGATGGCGAGCGACAGATAATCTTATCAATCGATAAAACGGATAAGATATCATTTGCGCTACATTTTATCATTTCTTACCGCTATAATGCCGAGTATTAGAGGCCTAGTGTGTGAACCCTTTCCTTTGATGGCAACAGAATCAAAGTCGTCCGTTAAGGTATTTGCTTCTAGATGCATGCAATTGCCTCGAGTGGGAGGGGGAAAGAGGGGGTATTTAGTGCGGCTGAAACGGGAAAATCGATACATTCATCAATCAAAAAAAATTTAAGCAAATCTGCTTGCTATGTGACGTGTTAGGAGGTGACGGTCGAAATTGAAGCAAAATAAGGAGGGAACCCAATAATTGGGAGTGGAGACTTCCTGTTGGTGGTAACATTCGAGCCCTTCGTGCACACCACTTTGATATGTACAAACAAGGTGAGGTTCTCCTTTTCAGCGCCACCCATGACCCTGCAGTTATGCCTCTTCCGGGTATTAAGGACTCATCCGGACTAGTTCAACTTTACCTATTCTGATGTCAGCTGCGGTCCTTAATGATATGGTGCAGCCTTCTCACGGTTGAAAGTCTGTAGTAAGCAAAAGGGACCAGATGTTAGTAAATAATTACTGATGTTGAGCTGTTTTCAATTCATTTTTCTACATTTAAAAAAATAACGGCCACCATTTGGCACATTTAGCGCATTGTGCCTCGTTCAAGCAGCACCCGGGGTAACATCTGCGACGGGCGCATCCGCCATAGTATTTAGAACTTCTGCGAAGCTTTTGTGTTTGTTGGGAAGAAAGAGTCTTTAAGTTTTTGGAAACACCAGTCGGATCGCCCGCCGAAGGCGGGCGTTTTTCCTTGTGCATGTGAAGTGGGTCCCCGGCCTTCCAATCTGAGGGAGATCCGATCTGGGGGAGAGTCGGATCGCCCGCCTTCGGAGGGCGATCCTCTTTATGCATGTGAAGCGATCCTCCCTATGCGTGTGAAGCGGGTCCCCGGCCTTCTGAATCGAAAATTTATAACACATTTGCATTTGTTCTTGAAGTGTGCTTGAAGCTCTTGACTTGTTTAACCACTTTATTGGCAAGCTTTCGGCATATAATGCCTTCGTCAGGCCTTAAATTACAATTTCGAACTTCAACGAATTTCAATATAATAGCTACAACGAGCAATGCGTAAAACCTTACATACCAGGCCTTGAGAGGGACGGACCTATCGGCGGGGTGTCAGGGGACTAAGTGACCCGTACTATGACAATGAGACACATGGGTGGGTAGCGGTGATTATGCGATGAGTCCCAGAAGGTCACGTAGCTGCCTCTTGTTGCGCATTGAGCTCGTGGCTTGAGGCTGGGTGTAAATTGTCCCGAGGCTGGTCTGATATTTTCGCTCTGCGGAGCGGCCCCCGTACCAAAGCGATTGCAGACAGCACGTCGACTATCAGCAAGACGCACGGAGCGGTCTCAGAGTTCGGGTGGGTCTGAAGCGAGTACGGTGCGTCGAATATGAGGAAGCTACTGTCGTGGGGTAAAGCTGCGGGTGGATGTTCAAACGCGCCTCTTCTGATGCTCGTACAAGACGGGATCCTCCGAAAGTCGCGCGTCTCCCCCCCAGCGTGACGTTGTCCGTCCACATCGTTGCATGAATGGAGATAGAACGAGTGCCTTGAAGGGGTGTCACAAATACTTTTTGTCGGATGAGGCAGTACTTGCGCAAGATGTCATCAGCGGCAGGGAAGCCGGATGTTTGTCATAAAATGTCTTTGAGGACGTGAAGGAGGGTGCTTCAGCGGTTGGCGGGAAGACGAAAGGGGAACGAGACGCAAGTGGGAACACAAGAGCGCGGGCGGGTTTTCCTTCAGGCCGGGAACCGCGGTGCAGAGGAGGGACTGACGTGCCATTCTTGTCGTGTAACGAAAGGCATCATCTTCAAGTTATGCGATTCAGGTACGTAGTGGGTACAGTGCGTGTCTGGCTGACAGGTCCGAGCAATGTCGACGTATCCGTGCTTTCAGATTCTGGACCTTCAGCGTCACGACCATCTGAGATCCGCTGACCGTACCCAAGCTTCTCCTTTGTTCTGACCAGGTGTTCGCCACAACGTTTGCGCATTTCATATGATAGTGCGGGTGTGGCACTTCTGGGAATGGGCAACAGATAGTCGACGGAGGCTTCTGGTCCCAGGGTGTTGCCTTTCGACCATGTCACTTATCACGGGAACTTTCGTAATTGGAGAGGAGCGCGAGAAAAGCCGTGCCCTCCCCTTGGAGTCTTGGGCGCGAGAGAGTCCTGTCCGGTGGTGTAAAATTGTCAGCTCTGCTCCCAAAGGTTTCCACAAGACTCGTCTCTCCGGTTCTTTACCAATGAAACACAAGACCCTCATCGGAAGGTAAGACGTTTTATGAAAAGCACTATTGACCAGTTGACAATGGGATGACATGTCTCATTGTGGGTCCAAGAATTGACTGCTACACGGGTCTGATTCTTAGCCATTTGCGGCTGGAGGCCTCAGATGTTCCTGGCCTTGTGAAGGACTTGTTGTCGAAGGCAAGAAAAGTAGGACAGGAACAGCTAACGCTTCACCGAGAGAAGATCTGAGGGAGGGACGCGTTTTTGCCGTGTGTCTTCAATGACGAAGATGTTCGATAAGTGAGAGGATCGAAGGAATCGACCGTGTGGTATAAGCAAAGAAGCCTCGGTCGGATTACAATGTTGGGCATTCCAGAAGTGCACACGCCCGCGGCCCCGGGGCCGGCCCCCGCCCCGCGCCGCCGCACCCCCCGGAACCCCACCGTCCCCGGGGGAGTGACGGCACCCGACGCCCGCGGCGCGGCAGCCCGGGGACCCGCAACGTTAGCAGGCCGCGACCGCCCGGCCACCCGTCGCCCGGTCGCGGGGGACCGCTTAGCGTCGCAGCCGGGGCGTGCGGTCGGGTGGGCGGTGGCTGCCGTGCCCCACGTTATTCTAAGCCGATATATATGAAGGCAAACGTTGTGCGAAACTGTGGTCAGACAAAAGGAGAAGCTGTGGGACGCGTAGGGATTCGGATGTGGACGCGAAGGGTCCAAGAACATCCTTGAAAGCAAACGGATATGTCGAAGTGCCTTTCAGGACCTGGTACCCACATACGTCACCTGATGGAATAAACCTTAATGATGCCTTTCGTTAACGACAAAATGGCACGTCAGCGTGAACCCCGCGTCGTGAAGAACTCCCAGCTCCCCATTCGTCTCGTTTTTCGTCCTCCCCCAACCCTGAAAACCCCTCTCACGTCCTCAAGAATTTATGAAAATCGGTGCCGCGATGAATCTTGCCGGTACTCGCTCATCCGAAAAGAGTTTGTGAACTTCAAGGCACTGTTTATCCATTCAATGCGGAGGTGGGAGAAACGTACCGTGGGGAGACCGCGCGACCTTTGAGAATCGTCTGGACGAAGCATAGAAGAGCCGTTGAACAACCCCGCAGCTCTACCCAGGAAGTAGCTCTCAGGCAGCCGTACGCTTAGACACCCGAATGAGACGTCGCTCGTCTTTTTGATGTGGTGTGTTTGCATCGCCATTTGGGTACGGCCGCTCCAGAGGAAAATAATGGAAGCCTCGGGAATACACCGCCTCAGCCAGAGATCAATGCAAAAAGAGGAGCTACGCTGACCTTCTGAGGCTCATCGCATAAAATCACCGCCACCCATTTGTCTCATTGTCATAGGTGCGGCGTCACTTATTGCCCTGCCACCCCGCGATAGGTCGTCCCTCTCAGGCTGGTATGTGAGGTTTTACGCATTGCTCGTTGTAGCTTTATACTGTTCGAAATTGTAATTTAAGCCTGACGAAGGCATTATATGCGAAAGCTTGCCAGTAAAGTGGTTAAACAAGTCAAGAGCTTCAAGCACACTGTTCAAGAACATATTGGATGAAGCTCAGAGATAGCACGCATCTTGCACATTTGCATTTGTTTATAAATAAATGGCAAATGTGTTATAAATAAATAAATAATAAACTAAATTTACTTGTTTATTTACTTATCTTGTTACTTATTCTAACAAAAACTCAAATACAGTCCATACTTCCATTCAGTTCATCCACACAAGCGGTCCAGTACCGACTTTCCACTCCAGTGCTTTACGAAAATTTCACAACCGTCCACTAGGGGGAGAAAGGGGGGGGGGTACAGTCCTCATCATTGCGGACCGGTGGGGCGTGTCAGCCAGAAGGAGTGCGCACACTGTTGAAGCCGTTTGTCAGCCTTGTCGTTGTATGCAACAAAACAGTGGTAGAAAACGAGTTAATACGAAGGAGTATTGATACAGAAATGCACTTGTTCGCTTCAAAAACTGGTGCAGAACGACTTTGCCAAACCGCACCAAATGCAGCCGCACTGCCACGCCACCACCGGTCCCGCAATGATGAGGACGTTATATACCTACCAGCCGGCTTCGGCCGGCTGCACCGGGCGCGCCTCCTTCTGAGATACAGCAGGGCTTCGTGCGATTATTCCATCTTTCATTAGCCACCTAATATCAGGCTTTTCTAACCATGAACAGGTGGGTCACATTCCTTGACCAATAGCATCATACCTGCTACTTCAACAATTATTAGCTGAATGGAGTGGTGACACGGAGCGTTGATGAAGTGGGCAGATGAGAGAAAAGGCCGGGTATTAGCGAGCATGTTGAATCATGCGAATGGCACGGTAAAACGGCGACGCCCCGCAAAGCCGGGCCGAACACATAGAGGTGTGGAGTGCCTCGAGTGCTCAGAACCGCTTGAGGAGCTTTAAGCGCTGGTCCGCGCTCACCTTGGCGCAATCGCCTCCACACATGCGACAGGTATGCTGACACTTTGTGAAACGCGGTGAATCCTCGCTGATCTCAAACTATCTTCTTCCCAGTGCCTGAGTGCTCTGGAAGCGTTTTGCGAATTTTTTTAAGATTGCCCACCACCTTGGGCACGCCCCCACCCTCAACGAATGCTCGCGCTTCTCATCTTATTGACCCCTCGATGACCTTTAAACTACTTTTTCCTGGTGTCTGGAGGCGCTGGAAGCGTTTTGCGAATTTTTTAAGTGTGGCTCCACCCACCTTGGGGCAGGCTCGCCCACAACGAATGCCTCGCGCTCTCAAACTTATGACCCTCGATTAACCTTAAACTACTTTTTGCCTGGTGTCTGGAGTGCTCTGGAAGCGTTTTGCGAAAATTTTTAAGTTTGGCTCCACCCACCTTGGGGCAGGCTCCGCCCACAGCGGCAGTGCCTCTCGCACATTCCCTGCATGTGATCACTTGGGGGCCATAATCCACTTTTTTTGCGCCATCTGTGGTGCTTTAGCACCAAATTACGGTGTTTTACAATGGCACCTGCGGTTCGTTCAAATGCAGCGCCGCCGCCACTGTGGGCGGCCTTAGTCTCCGCAAACATGGTGGACCCCTTGACAGACGTTCATCTTCGTCACAGTATTTTCTGCGACCTCTAAACATTTGGAACCGAGTTACTTACCTTTATGGGAAGCGCCGCTCATCTCAAGCACGCCCGCCGCCAATTCCGGGTGTGGTTTCTCCATTTGCTCCGCCGACCCCCAATGCTAGCCTGATTCTACTTTTTCCATCTCCGGTTGCCTTTTAGCCGAGTTATAGCTTTTTTCAGTGACACGGGAAGCACCGCCCTCACGTACGCCCCGCCCAATTCGGTGCGTCCTCCTCTGTTTGGTCGCCACGCCTTTGTTAACACTGCTGCCACCCTCTTTCCTCATCTCGGGACTGCCCTGGAACCGGAATTATGACTTTTTTCAGTGACACGCCGCTAAATTTGGACGCACGCCCGCCCACTGTGGGCGAGCTTTCCATGGGTCATGGGTGCTATTAGGTTTGTGCCCCATGCACTATCCATCCCCACCCTGACCCGACCCGCGCGACCGCAGGCTCTTCTCAGGTGCTATGATTTTCGTGACAGACAGACAGACGCGCAACAGACACATACACACGCACACGACACCAGAGACATAGCCGAGTTATATTAGTAGGAAGGTGAACGGCAACAGTCTGGAATTGCACGAAAACATTTTTTCTGTGGAGGCGGGGATCCGACTGGCCCTCAGGTTGGAATGCGGGTGACCCACTTCCGACGCATAAGGAGGACGTCCGCGAAGGCGGGGATCCGACTATCCCTCAGATTGGAATTGGAACCTCACGTTCGCTGCTATTTTCATTTGTATTGAGACGAACTTATAAATTTTTGGAGCAGGCACCGCCGATTCGGTGCACATCTCATTCGCTGGGGTGTCTCCTCCTTACTTCATCTGGCTTCCCGCTGTCGCCTTTCAAGCATATTACCCATCCTTCGGTTTGCACAGAACGCATTTTGAAAATTTCTATCCTTGGCACCTTTCACATCTGCCTACGCCCCGCCCATTGTGAGCGGAGCCTAGATTACCTTGTATGTGCCCTGTAGATGTTGCCCCTTGCCACAACCATCCCAAGCTTGATCCGTTCCCTAAAAGTGATTTTCCACATAGTCCCCAACTTTCGGGCGGTCACACAAAGATACAAACACAAACAACTTCTGCCAGGGCGCAGCATTCGATAGGGATTTTGGTCTAGCTTTTACGACCCCCCTTTTTTCAGGGGCCACGACCCCCCCCCCATGCTCGTACGATGGTTGACATGGATGACTGTGGTTGTGTGTATACTCGGCGAAAATGTTGTCGAGCGGGGCGGAGGGGGGGGGGGAGGATATAGGATTTCTCATGTCTGCACAAAGTTGTGTCCATTGTAAGGTGAAAATCTGTCCAGAAGCTCGTGCTATTTTTGGTGTGAAGTCTCAACGCGAACTATGAGACAGCTTCAGTGTATTTTGTATAAATTCATCTGAAAAAAATAACATGAAATCTGCTTACAGCTTGGTTAAAGATGGTTGGTGGGTGACGTTATGCGGTTCTAAGAAAGACAACTTCAGAGGAAGTCCAGTGGATCATGCAGCGCTTTTTTCTTACAGCCTGTTAGGCAACCGCACAAATGGGTATGTGACAAGAGGATCGTAATTTGCCGCGCTGCTGGGCGTCGCGTGCGACGTCTCGCCCGCAAATGGCGATGGTTTCAGGCAGTAGATGGCGACAACATGCAATTAAGGACCGAAAACAGTAATGACAATGGCGGGGTCTACATGAAGTCCGGTGCTCCATTCGACAGGTTGAAACGAGTTATGAAAACGACGCGCCCATCGCCGCGCGCGGCGGTGCGGCGAATTACGATCCCCTTTGCCGTCTCCCCACACAAATTGGGTGTGGGTGGATATTTCAAGGTCACAAGGGTGTGAGGTGGGGGTTGTACCGACGAGACTGCTTTCCGCGACACGAAGCTGTCCCTAGCCCTAGTCTTGGGCGTTGTAGGGCGGGCTTTGTCCTGCTGGCGCGTGGCCCCTCAAATGCAGGACGGCCGTGTGTGTGTGTGTGTGTGTGTGTGTGTGTGTGTGGTGTGTGTGTTGTGGTGTGTGTGTGTGTGTGTGTGTGTGTGTGTGTGTGTGTGTGTGTGTGTGTGTTTGTGTGTAATTGTGTGTTTGAGCGCAGGAAATTCGTGAATTGTCGTTATTTAGGCCAAAGTTCGTGAGTGACAGTGTGTCCGGACTGAAAATTGTTGGTGGGATGACAGAAAGTGATAACACTTATAGAGCTAACCAAGCAGGGCTGGAAAGGTAGGCCACGAAACTCAGCGCAGGTCCCAGTAACGATGTACTTGGTTCCAGGACATGATATAGGATAGGGGCAGGAACACTATTGGAGGGTTATAGGAAGGTTTGAATATTAATAAGATCCGATAAGGGTATAGATCTCAACGCCACCTGACCCATAGCGCCAGCAGGCACTGGCTTCCAAGGGTCATCTGCTATAAGGGATATGACGAAGGATATCACTGATCGGTGACAAAGAGGCATAACAACTGATAGGGGCTGATAACGGCAATGCCTGCGTTATTCTTTTTCAAGGTTGTACTCTTCAAGCACCAGCAAACCATAGGCTTTGTGGTATGGACATTGGTAAGAGGATATGTACAGCATGTAGAGAGTATCTTCACTTCACTCCTTACCACTGTACTTCTGACATAAGTATTGGTATTCCATGCTTAGTCCTATAGTGAAACTCATCCCTTTACTGCCTTCACGTGAGTGGGAAAAAAGGGCGGGGGTGGGGCACATAATGTGGGTGAAGAGGGGAAAATCAAAAACCTCTAATTTAAAAAATTGAGAGTTAAATACCCCGCGCCTCGTTGTTCTCTGGACAGAAATGAATATTCAAGGTGAGGTAGAGTGCTTCAAATTTGTATGAGGGTTGAGGGTCATCAAGGTCAACGGTACAGTGTGAGGGGTAAGCTCTGTAGTAATCGTTGTGAAATACATACGACAGCGTGCGCTGGCAGACATTCGTTCTGCTGCGGTTTTTGATGACTCTAACTCTTTCTCTTCTTCTTTTCCTAGAATTTCTCATGAGTTCAAATAAATAGAAATTGGTACCAATCGTGATTTCTAAAAAATCGTTCTGTATTGTTTTACCACGTCAAATGCGCAGTAGTGTGCGCCATCCAAACTGGTCATAAATAAGTGGTTTTTCAAGCGGAAATGGGAGCTACTGGGGTCCTGTGGGGAATCGCCCACTTCTCAGAGGAGTTGACGTCTGAGCCAAGACGAGCAGCCTATCTGGATATCGTCACTGGAGCCCTAGGAGGCAAGGGATCACAACCACTGGATATCAGGTAAGTGGCAACAGTTTTTATATGTACACCTAAGTTTGGAGAAGTTGAAGCAGACGGAAGGCGATCTTTGGAAACCATAAATATCCAAAGCAATTGCTAAATTGGCACTTTATGCATATTTGTAAATAATGGAAAATATAATGCCGCGCGCTCTGCTTGGCATGCTGTACATTAATCTTCCGGGTCATAATTTCAGCGAAGAACACTTTTCTGCGGATCCGTTCGCGCGAGGTTCCATTGCGGTTCTGCCCCCGAATATCGACATCACCTCGCTCCGCTTTCTTAAAGCAGTGAACGATCACGGAGAGGTTTGAAAAGAACCTTCAGATTTCTGCCCAAGTGAATCAATAAATCCATCCAGAGGATCCTGTTTGCTTCTGCCGAGTACTCGAACGTCTCTATGGGGTTGATGAACGGTGCGGTTCTCTCTGGGAAAACAGCCGGTGCAACGGTAGCACGTCGTCTGCGGAAAGCTGATGGTAAGTCGAACTCTTTATGCAATTTTGACCCATTTCTATATCCCTCAGAAGTAACACGTTAGACTCAAACTAACCAGCTCATCTGGTAAGAGGATGTGAAAATAATAGGAAATCCAGATCCTGGTCATGCCAGAATTCAGCTAAAACAGGTCAGCTTGATTGGCTCACTTCCAGAAGCCGATCGGGAAGACAACGAGATAGCCAACCTGGTGCGTCTCAACGACGAAGTAGCAAAGACCACTCGACTACTGGAGGTTCAGTTTTCTACCTTTTTGCTATGCCTATCTTCATTCATCTTCTCACTTCTTTTTGTTCCCCTTTTTCTTTGCAAATGAAGCTCATTTTTAGGGAACGGTGGAGAGAAAACGAATCAACGAGTCCACGTCTGTCGGTGCATACGTCTACAACACCTCAACGCATTATCCGGTCACAGATCCTATCGAAGCTACTACCTTCAAGCATTTCAGTTTTGGTAATGTAGAAGATGACGATGAGGACAGCGACCCCAGCACTAGTAGTAAGTGTGAATTGTGGTTTATGAGGAAACTGTTGATGGAACCACTATTATTCTCAATCCGATAAAGTAACACTACAAGTATGAAAATGCGACATTTTCAATAGGTACTCATCGTTCTGAGAGGGAAATTTTGAAACCATAGGTAGTAATTAGTAACAAGGGTATTTCTTCCAATTCTCACATTCACCCGTCTGCAAGGTTTCTGAAAAAGGCCAGTCACTTCACCCATTGCCGTTACTTAAAGACACTTCCCGCGACTGCACATCTTAGGTAATAGAGTTCAAGAACAGGAGTGCATTGTGCTAGTTGACTTAGTAGTGAGGAAGAAAGTATGAAAAACCGTCCCCAGTATGACCTTCCTTCTTGCACTTGATCATGATCATCGGACGAGAGTAGGATGGTCAGGATCAACAGTGATATGCAGAAGGTGACGATAGACTGCAAAGTGCAGAGAGAGAGACCAGAAATTGACGGGCGAGAGAGCACAACGGCATTAGTACGACGACGCGGGCAATGTAGGCCGGCATGGGCCTAAAATCAAAGTTTCCGGTGCTTTGCGTGCCATCTTCCAAGCTTTAAATGCAGTGCAACCTCTACAATAGCCTACTGGATCTGACACGTTTATGAGGTTATAGCCTTAGTTTATCGCGGAACGTGCCTTTACGAGTCTCTTCTGGAGCGCGGCAGGGAAATGAGTACATACCAAGCATACTTTAAAAGATTACTCGACAAACCAGTGTCTCGAACATGGACGCCCTCATGGATGGCCAGCAAAAGTAGGTGTTGGGCCTGAAGCAACGGTTTCAAGAAGATACATGGGTAAGCGCTGAACACGTAGAGGAGCAGCAGTGCTCCGCATGACTACAACTAGTGTGTTCCACAAGCTGGAAGAATGCTGTAAGCTGGATCGATGGATTCCGCATAAGTTGACGTCAGAGTTTAAGAGAAGACCTGTCGAGATGTACAAAAGGTTTTCTTGCAAAAAGCCGCCGAGCCGACTGGAACGACAACTGGCGAATATAATGGGGTGTTAAACGTAAACCGAAAGTTGTTCTTTCAGTTTCATGAGGTGTTCGGGTAGTTTACTCTTATTGTTAGGAGCTGTTCTCAAAGCATACCATTGACGGCGCTCAGGTGTACTGCTCATAGCTACGAAGCTGCTGAATTTTGGTGCAGGGCCTTTTGGATCATTTGTCTCTGGTGGCCGCTCAAGGCCTCGGAGCTTATTGTTTGTTACAAAAGCAATGTCATACAAATACAACGTGACCTTTCAAACACCAGAACAAGTCCACTGTTACCTAAAGGCAGTTAACATGACAATTTGTACTCGGTCTAAAATGCTAACAGGGTGCTATGGTGATAAAATGAAAACAAAGTGAAACAGTCAAAAACCTGCAAAAAGCCTTCGTTCCTGATGGCTAAAAAGCAAATTCGGGCGAGTTTTTTCCTGTGGGCATCTTGCCGATAACCACTACGGTAGAGTCTTGCCGATAACCGCTACGGTATATACGGCTGCACGTGTGTACTCATAGTATATCCATGCTGCACCGCGGCCGCTTCATGTCAACCCCTTCGCTTCATATTTGACTTCGTAAATGAAGCAATACGAGCATCAGGTACGGTCGTCCGTTGTGGGCGGGCAGGCGCGGTAGGCGTCTAGGTCGGTATGTTGCAGCATGATAGGGCCTCACAAGCAAACTTCCTCGGAAAAGGCGTTACGTGGCGCCTGCTCAAGAGCGCGGAATCCCGTCCTGCTAGGCGTGTTAATCCTACCCGTCTTAAAGACACATGGTACGCTCAAACACATTGAGGGTGTATGAGACTATCAGCCCCCAGCTGTCAATGTGTCGTGGTCCCCCGCCCAAACATGCCCAGGAATGGAGATACAGGACCGTGAAACACGCTAACTAATTCATGCTCCACCTTACACCTTTTTGCGGCGCAGATTCCCGTCCTTCATAACATCCGTCGTAAGCGCGCGTGTCGCGTGAGGCTTCTTGGCACTTTGCCAAGTCCTTTAATTGCGCTCTCAAATACAAGTAAAACGCAATTCCTGCTGCGGATAACATTGGAGTGGCGGTGCTACAAATAAGAACAGAAGATGATGACGAGGGCCAGAACTCAAAGAGCAATCGGCTGCATCTGCGGTATCCATCAGAGGCCGCGCATTCCCACAAAACGAGAATAAAAACAACCCCAAGCGTCCCACTATTTACTACTATTTATTTTTCTATTTACTACTACACTATTACGTTCCTAGTATTTCTATGGCTTCGGCGCCGGATTCGCGCCGGATCGTGGAAATATACAGGCGATTTTAACTAATTTGCCTTTCCTTGATTTTTTTCATTTTTGTTCATTTACATCTACATCGTTGTGCTTCATTTCTAGCCTGTGTCTCATCTCCTTGTACATGGATTTTGAAGCATGAGCACACCTCAAATTTATTCGCATCAGGAAATTGCGTTTTGCTTGTATTGACTAACGAGTATGCCGTTTTTATTTTCATGGTTCGTGGACGTACGCGGCCTCCAGGGATGTTGCAGGAAGTGGCAACAGTTGCTTTTAGGTTCTGACCCTCGTCATCATCTTCTATTCTTACTTTGCAGCACCTCCAGTGTTATCCGCATCAGGAAATTGCGTTTTACTTATATTTGAAAGCGCAATTAAAGGACTTGGCAAAATGCAAGGCCGCCACGCGCATGCGGCGCTTACGACGGATGTTATGAAGGAAGGAATCTGCGGCCGCAAAAAAGGTGTAAGGCAGAGCATGGAGGAATTCTCTGTCCTGTATCTCCATTCCTGGGCATGTTTGGGCGGGGGGACCACGACACATTGACAGCTGGGGGGCTGATAGTCTCATACACCTTCAATGTGTTTGAGCGTACCATGTGTCTTTAAGGACCCTTGAAGGCAATGCCCGCGATCATTCGCCATCACAGGTAGTGGACTAGGGTTTCGCATATAGACAGCAAGGTTCTGAGTAACTCGATAGTGATGAAAAAAGTAGAAAAAGACATGCCAACTGCCCTAGATAGAACCCCATTGCGATCCCAGCTTGAACGTGCCCAGTTAACCACGCATCGCACGTGCATCTTCGACACTACGCCCTGATCCGCGCGGCTGATTCCCCAGTAGGAACTCCACGATCGTACAAGTGAGGATTTCCATGCTTTTTCGTCTTGCAGCTTCGTTTTCCACTAAAAGGCGGACCTTGAAGGAGGAGTCTGGAGGCGGAATCACTGGAAAAAAGGAGGCGTCACTGAACCTATAACACCCCTCCCTTACAGTTTTTTTGCAGTCAAACCGGTACAAGGTTGTTCGCGCGGACCACAGTACCTTCCCGATCGCGGACCGTACTTTTAAGTTGCAGCTCAATAGTAACTGTTCTAGTTCTTATCCGAATTTCGAGAACTCTCACTTCTCACTTACAGTCACCCAGGACGATGACACTACGGGAGAAAATGCCGGCGTAGACACTGCCACAGAGGGGATTTCCTTCGTCTACCACACTTCGAGCCTGAATCCGCCTGCAGAACCCTTGGAAACATCCACGTTCAAACACTTTAGCTTTGGGAATGCTGATCCAGGTGAACCTCATTCTGCAATATTTCAAAAAATATTTTGTCTTAGACACATCTTATCTTTGTCTTAGACTAAAACTCATTTCTTCTCCCGTTACTATTCATGAGGGAAGAGTATGCTAGGCTTCGAATAACTTGTTGTGTGCGTTCGGTGTAACAGATACAGTATGGACGTATGTAACACTATGAGAAAGACGCGATTACCAAATTGTCGGTTGCTTCTTTGATATTTCCACTTTTCAGCACCACCTTTCGTGCCCCCACCCAGATCGGGCAATCCTATCATCACCGCTACAATCCCGACGACAACAACAACGGACCGAACCACATTCACTCCGATTGATAGGAACAGGATCACCACGCCATTCGAATACCACACCTCAACTATCAATCCGCCAATGGAAGTTGTCGAAGTAACTCCCTTCAAGCATTTCAGCAATGGAAATGTAAATGCAGGTATGTAGAGCGTAGCGGACTAGAGTGGGCATCACTATCAGTGCAAACCATCACGTTGTGGAAAACTTTGCAAGAAAAAATCTCCAAGCTTGCTCTTCTGCTAGAACCCTCTTCTATTTTGTCTACCTATCATCGTCCCTACTTTTTCCAGACTCTGGAATTTCGGCCTTGGGGGTGCGGCAAACATCTTCGACCAATCCTGTCAAATATCAGAAATAGTCGTTTCGAATTTTACGGTGGCGCCAACTATGAGCTGAAGAACACAACGCGCGTTAAGCGGCGAAAATCGAACAAAATCTACGGTTAGATACGACCTCATCCCTGCAGCGGCCAAATACACTCCCCTCCCAGTATTTGTTGAGTTTTAGTGTGTCTCACACATCAAATATGCACTAAAAGTAAGAGTAGGAGCCATATCACAGCCAAAACAGTCCACCGCGCGCGCTAGTTTCGGCTGGTGAAAAAGGTAAATAAAGGATGCGGCTTCCAACTCACTTCAGCTTCGTCGAATCCTGCAAGCGACATTGGATCGTCGACATCTAAGGAAGATGTTGCTAGGAAGTTGAAGGAGATTTTAGACGAGGTCAGCGAGATCGACCTGCTATCGTTCCATTACTGTTGTGATCCATTTTCAGCTGCCCACGTCCAGTTCTCTTCAAATTGCTCGGCAACTCTCTGCAGTTCTTCATGATCTCCTTCTTTCGATGTCAGAAAAACGACGATAATGTACAGAACTATTCACCTTACAAAGTTACCTTTTCATCTAGTTGCGGGTCCTATCAGTGCCTTTCTGTTGCTTCAATTATGCAGTTGTCAATGTCAATCGACTGTCAATTTTTTATATCCTCTTTATTAATAAAACCACTTAGCGGATTGGCATGACGACCTCACTTGTCATTGTAGTGCGTAAGAAGAGGGAACCGTTCAGTGGGTGTGAACAGCGGAGATCAGCCCTAGACGTGCGACTGTGCGTGGTAGTTACAATAAGTATCATCGCAGTCAGTCGGGTCGATTTCCGGGGGTATGGACAGACCCCCCCCCCAGCCGCACCGTTGCCCCAGTGGCTAAATCGATCACTCTTCTCCACTGGTAGAGCAAGGCTGTCGGAGGCGGACTCAACCCGCCCTCTTCATACTGCCCCCGGCCGAAATGTTACAAACTATACCTGTAGTCTCAAGTCCGCTTTTGAACGCATATGCTTTCCTGACATTGCACTAGTGGCACACGACGCCTAGTCTAAGTTTTAGAAGGCTTACCAATCTGTCAAGTTCAGGCAAGAAGGCGTAGTTCTAGAGAAAAGTAAGCTTTACTGCTTCAAGTCGCTTTTTGCCCAGAGGATTCCCAGTGGGGCAGACTTCTCGGCTCCTTGGTGTTAACATAGCGAAAAGCACTTTTATTATCTTGGGTGCTGATTCTTCCTCCTTCTGAAAAAATTCTGCAGCCCTCGCAGAGCTTCCATGAACATATGTGCCTCCATACGTAGAATTCTCTAGTCTAAGATGTGTGAGGGTGCTAACTTCCCTCGGAACATGAGGAAAGGTGGCAGCAAGGGCAGCAGCTTCTTAGTTACTTGCAAATTTTGCTGTTGGATGTTGTGGATGCTGCCACTGCGACCGTGGGTTTCAGTGCCACATTACCCTTTGCTATCACTATTGTTTTTTTTTGACGACCAAAGGCACCGTAACCCTTTGTGCAGAATCCCTTGTGTCCAGTGAATGCACGACAATGCTAATCTGAGGTTCAGTTTCAGGTTTTTGTAGTGGTTAGACATCTGCTTAGCGCACAGGTTCAAATGATGACAAGCATCTACCGCCAATTAGTGATGAGCGATGCAGAGTGCGAACTAGAAGTAATTTGAAGTTATTAACAAGTTTCCTTCTTACCTTGAAAAGCCGCTTGTGCCCGGCTCGGGAGCAGCGAAGAAACGAGGGCATCATAATTGCGGCAGCCGCTTCAACAACTTTTGGTGTGGTTGTTGAAGCGGGTGCCCTCCGCCTTGAGACGCGCTTTCGTCGAAACAAAATTAAGTGTCTTCGCTGGTGGCTGGGACGAGAGACGAGTCGCCCGGTCAGTGGCCTATTTAGGGTTCAGACGTCTAGGTTGCTTCTTTTTCGTCCGATCCGTTTAATTCATTCACTGCTTATTTTCATTCATCCCTACCATTCCAACTTGGTACGTCGGTACGACCTTCCATCGTCGAGAATTGATCACCATTGTCAGAGTTCGCAATGATAAAGCCTTCGGCGTTGGACAATCTTTTTGAGAGAGATACGCCACTTCATATCTCAAGGGGTAGATAGGATTTAGTCAGGGCATGACTTGTGGATCCCTGCTGTACAGCATAGCATTTTTAGACTTCCAGACAATTCTGTTACCAAACCAAGAGAGATGGGAGGGCCAGGTGGCTAGGCTGGTCGGAAAGATTCGAACCGGCATTTAACCCGCCCTTTCTCCGTCCACCTTCACACACAACGAAGAACCACGAACATCACATGCACATAGTCGAACTCTTAACGGGTTTCATAAAGCAGACATAAGGACAAGGGCATAAGCAGTAGCGACGACAGTGTCGCATACCTATTGCGCACACCCCGCGCACAGATGGTTCGTCTCCACTTGGCACAGAAAACGGTCGCCTTCATCGGGACAGTGGTCGCTACCAACACCCTAATGCCAAATGACGAAAGCAATTACATCAAGCATACATTTCATGACTCCCGATAAGCTTTGGGACTTTTCCAAAACGGCGACATTAATGTTGTTAAAGAAAATAAAAGTACGATCAAATCCCGACCGTTTCGATGCTGATCGCATCGGTTGACCAATCGAGAGCAATAGCAGAAGGTTCGGTGTTGGTTTGAACGGCAGAGTCATCTGGATTGAGGACACAAGCGTCAGTACATATTTCCTACTGCACCTTTTGACTCATGGTCAGTCTCAAAAATCAACTGGAGAACTGATACAAATAGAAACGAACCAATGAAGTTCCATGAATGAAGCTTCCAAACGAACACCAGCTTCTCGATCTAGTGGAAGCTCAGGAGTTTCCTAGAAACACCCGCTGCTCTTCGTTGAAACTCATCATTTTTTCCAGAGAAGTTTTCCGGAGGAGAGAGGACAGGGCCAAAATCAGCCTTTGATTGCCAATAACTCTTCAAGAATACACCATGAAACCCATTTTTATACAAAACATACAATGAGTTCGTAGTAAATATTTACGGTAGGATAACAAATCGCAAATAGTAACCCTTAATGCTGCTGTAACAACTGAATTATTGACTTCTGAACATCGAATACGAGAAAATTAGGTGCGAAATTCTCAATCAAGACAGAAAACATGACCAGAGTTTTAGGCGAATTCAACAGCATGCATATGCTGCAGCAAGCTTCCTGCTGAGCGCAACATTCATTGAGCAAACGGCGAAGGCTACGAATGCATCACATCGCCAGAAGAAATCAAGTAAGAAAGACGAGGAATACGTTGTATATTAATTTCACGGCTACGAAAGGCTTTTGCTATAATAACTTCATTCTTTTACATACCAAAAACACCAAATTCGATGCGCAGAGGAGATAGATAAATAGAAAACTCTCAAAAATGAATCGCGGCGCAAAAATCTTCCACACCATTAAGTGCCGTTTATGAATTGCGGCAGCAATACATGAGAACAATGAGGCAATCGACGAAAAACCGACCAGAGAGTTAAGTGACTCAGCGTTACTAAGGGGATGAAGAGGTACAAAAAGAGGCGCTACGATTGCTGATACCGCAATATGGGAAAGAACCAGAAACGCAGGAATCACACGAAACCAGAAATTACCGGGTAGCCCGACGAAAGCCGCCTGCCACGGAATGGCTGGAAGGGTTGGTGAGTGTCCAGTGAGGTAGAAACCCAACGGAATGAGTAGAGAGTAGAGTGGAGGCAAAACTTCTGAAAGAAAATCATCCTCAGCTGCTGCTATCAACCAGTTCGAGAAAATGAATACTTAGGTAGGGCTAAAAATCTGTGTTGTGTTGTAGCTGTATCAGTAAATTGTGCACAAAGCGCAACTAGGATACCTACGATTCTGACAACGGCTGCACTCAAAACGGGCAAAAGTTTTTTTTCACAAGAACTTTTGGAGTCTTAGCCTCTTGAAATCCAGGGCCAAATTACCAACCTCAGCACTAAAAAGGCAGAAAAAGAAACCGCCATAAAGAACGGGAAGACAAACCTGCATCACATAAACGAACACAAGCGTAGAGAATGAAAAGAAATGCGACGAGAGACGGCTGAAGACCATCACCAAGTAGAAGAAACAGCGGCCAGCAGACGGTGTGTACGAGGCAGAGATACGCCGGGCACTCGCAACCTCTGAAATTCCAAACTCAAAGAGGATATTCATCTGAGATAATGAGGTGGAGAAAGCAACGAGCGAGCTGCTCTTGCCATCGAAAAGAACTACATCTTAACAGAGGGCTATATTTCATAGTCAAATAAAAAAGAAGCAGGAAAGAACCAGGTAGGGAACAAATACTGTTCATAGATACTGACATTGATTCTACCAGTGCTGCGATAACTCCCATTCAGACCATAGAAAATTTACGACGTGAATGAGTGGTTGGTACAGAAAAAAGTGACCAGCGTGTTCTCCATCAATTTCGACACCACATCATTCAGTTGAAAGAACGAATTCAGAAGGAGAAAGGGGTCCGGAGCCAGTCACACAGAGCTAACGCACGCACACACACAAGTACCAATATATCGTCAAGCGTGAATCGTACAAGGCGCTGAACGTCTGTTCACAATGGCTCCAATCCATCTTCAAGATTAGTTTCTGCTCACACTAAGCGGAATATCCACCCTGCTAAAATAGCTGCAATAATTTGGTACGAAGCCACCAGTAAAGGCGATCACAATGGCCGGCCTAGATTAGCACGATTTATACAGGACTGTCAGGCGGCCAACAAAATGGTGCCATATAGTTTTGGAGTACGCAACATAAAGAGGTTTTATCGAATTTCGCTTCAACATCATCAGCCAGCCTGGAATCTGGCAACATACAATTCGGTTGTACCATACGGGTACTTGGTGGCTCTAATGGTCATGAGATAGGCATTATTTGGAGGTATTGCACGAGTGTGAGCAGAGTGTATGAATGTCATTTTGCTTCGATTAGCAGATCGTCCGTCGAATTAATTGACCTTCTTTAGATTGCGCGGGAACACGCGGCAGGCAGCCTATTTAGCCGTCATATCGAGTCACTCAACTTCTTTTCTGTTTTTTGTTCTTCGTTCCGGTCGTGTCTGGAGGGTCACCTCCCAGGATCTCGTCGTGTTCTTTCTCTTTTTTTTAGGATACTGCCTCTCTCTGAGAAACTGAGAAGCCTTTTTTGTGTTGTTTATCCGTAATAAATTGTTGCTACTATAACCTGTCCGAGCACTAGTGGGAATAAGTAGCGGGTAAGCACCGCCAGAGTAACTGACTTGGATTTTCTTGTATGCGAAATCCTTACTTGGGGGCCAAGCCAGCCTACTAGTGCGCTCGATCAATCGGAGGTCCGTTTTCGTCATGGAAACAGGACTAAACCTCCAAAAGAGCCTGAAGTGGTGACGCAGATATTAAATCTAACAGTCACCGACATAACCAACAACCCGACCGAGTTAAAAAGCCGGTAAGTAGGCAGAAACTTTTGGGGCTTGTGAGAAAAGAGATAAAAGCGGTTGCAACGCACAGTGATATGACTTCAGCTCAGTTTTTTACTACGTCCGATGAGAGACGTACTGCCTGTCGGAAACAATCAGCAATAGGATTGAGCTTATTTTGGACCTGATAGAGGGGCTAACCCAATCAGATGACAGTAGATTGATTTAGCTCCAACATTGTAATGAAAAATCAATCTACTGTCAGTACTGAGGACCATGCCAAGATTTATCGACAGTCGCACTTGGACACCAATCAGATGAGTCCAATACGGCAGTAAGAAATGATAGTATAATAGAAACGCTGTGTGACATTCAGAATTGTGCACCATGTGATATTGTCCGAGTAACTATAGAGAACAGTGACAGATTGAACAATTTACAGCAGATTGAAAATGCTAGACTGCGCAAGAAGTTCATGAAAAAACGCCGTGAAGAGCTCTATGGACCCAAATACACCCGAATGGAGGGTGAATGTAATTACACATGAGGACTTGCCAAGCTCAGATAATAGTGATAGCGATCATGAAACAGCACAAGTAACATTTCAGTCGATGGGAAAGGTGAACTCGTCGAAACAAAGGACGACCCAGTCTTCGCCGAATGGACTAGCAGGTCAGTCCAATGTAGAGTTCTCTGACACTATAGGAGCAGAGAGAGATCAAAGTAGATTATCAGATGGACGTATGGAAGACAGTACTATGAGAAATTTTTTTCGTTCCTTAGCAATGCCAGATGTTAAACCATATAACAATGAAGGCGGGCAAAAATTCGAAGATTTTATCAGGGCCTTTAATCTTAAACATCCACGCAGGGCATATAACGAGGGGGATCGGAAGGAGATCCTAGCAGGGTACTTAGGAGGCGAAGCAAAACTGCAGTATAATACTTTGCCCGATGAAATCAAAAATGGCTCCCTTGACACCGTAGTGCAAGAGTTGAAAACCCGCATACGAATGGAAAATCAGGAATCTCAGGCTGAGGCACTCAGAGCTATGCGAATGCTTAGGAAAAAGGAGCGCCAGTCAGCGATACACTTCTGTCTCGAGCTGGAGCTGCTCTCTGCAAAGGTCCATCCGAACTGTGACCAGGCAGCACTCGAGTTTATCCGAGCGAAATTTTCGCACGAGCAACTCCGTGACTGGCCGGAGGCGTACCACTTGTCTGAAATGCTCGCCGGAGGACACGCGCCATGTCTATGAGCGTTTTAAAGATGCGGCGCTACGCATAGAGCACTTACGCAAACAGCGACAGGAGTCTGACTGTAGGAAAACAGACAAGTAGGGTAGGTTTGGAGGAGGACCACGCCAAGCCGCGACCTCTAAGCCGGCATCGCACCAAGACTCTGAGACTAAGGGCAGGGAGTTGACGAGACCCTTAATATAAAGCCCAGAAGCCAACAATTTAAGATAGACGAAAACAAACCAACCTCAACCAAGTGTGGAAAATGCGGAAAGAAAGGCCATAACACAGAAGAATGTTGGTCAAAGAAGAATAGGAAAGAGGCTAGTAATTCCATCAGTGCTACGCTAAGAGGATAGTCCTGCAATGCGAGTACAACAAGCACACAAAATATCAAACGGAGCAGTCTTGTTCCAAAGCACATAGTGAAACTGTTGTGCCTAGGGCTAGAGACCCGTGGCATAATCGATACGGGATCGCAATTAATCATCATGCCATTAAGTTTTTTCTTAAAAGCCAAAGAAACTGGCGTTGATTTGGACAATTCATGCAAGGAAATGAAAGCCAGAAAAGTCTTTGACGCATCGGGGAATCAAATGAATTTCCCAGGGTGTATGGAAACGGAGGTGGAGCTTATAGGAGGAAAGAAAAGCATTGTCCAAATGCACGTGAAGCGACTTAGGGAAGATGTCACACTCTTAGAAGCCAGAGGCGCTAGGCGTCCAAATTCTCATATAGCCACACCCGGAAGCGGAATACCAAACGAAACATGTACTGAAGGACATGCAGGAACAAGACTGTGTCAAGAATATAGCGCTTCACAGGGAATGGTTAGAGCTGTCGTGGCGGAGACTGTATTTGAAACCAGGACAGCGGCGTGATCCATGTGAAATGGGAACACAGAGCAGAAGATGCAGTGCTTTGGTCGCACACTGAATTGATAGACTAGTATGTTCTGTCTCAACAGAAGGTGTTGCAGAGATACCAGTACTGAACAACTCCGATGAGCCGGTTGTTTTCAAGCAAGGACAAACAATTGGAGAATGGTGGCAACATTATTTGATTGACCCACGAGTTACGGATATAAAGTCAGATATGCTTGAATTAGCAAAAAGTTTCGCTGCGAAGGAAAGGATGGAAACTCTGCTGACGCACCTAAGGGCAAACAGGAGGTCGGAAGAATTTTCTCAGGAACTGAGAGCACTAATCTACGAATTCGCAGACGTGTTTGCAATTAGTGATCACGAGCTCACCCATACAGATCTGTGCAACACGACTAGATACCGGAGACACAAAGCCAATAAAGCAAAAAGTGCGGCCGGTATCACTGGGGTCCAACCGGAATTCAAAGCCATATTGAGTGACCTGGAGGCTCGAGGGGTCGTAGCGTCGGCATCAGATTGGGCATCCCCTGTTGTACTACTACAGAAGAAAGATAAATCGCTGAGACTCTGTGTTGACTACAGAGTACTCAACAAATACACGCGCCAAGACTCCTACCCGTTGCCCACGATCGATACCCTACAAAGCCTAACCGGCAAGAAATATTTCAGCACCCTCGACATGACTTCCGGTTAATGGCTGGTAAAACTAAGCAAAGATGCACAAAGGAAAAGCGCGTTTACAACCCCGGAGGGTCTGTTTGAATTCAATGTATTGACATTCGGATTAAGCACATCGCCAGCCGTGTTCCGGCTAATGGACATGGTGTTAGCCGAGCTAAAGGGAGATGAAGTTTTCGTGTATATCGACGATGTACAAGTCGCAACAGGGAGCGAGAAGCGACATCTCGAGGTGCTCAGGAAAGTGTTCATCGCTTTCCGGAAAGCTAACCTAAAGCTTAAGTCGAGGAAGTGCACGCTGCTATAAAGCAAAGTAGCGTTCCTTGGACATGTCCTTGATGAAGACAGCATAAAGACGGATCCAGAGAAGGTCGAAAAAGTTAAAAATTACCCACGACCTACTAACACTGCGGAACTACGCACTTTTCTCGTCATGTGCGGTTACTACAGAACGTTCATTTGTTGAAGATTGCGAGGTCTCTTTGAGCTGACGGGCTCGCGTGCGCCATTCGGTTGGAAAACAGAACACGATCGAGCTTTCGACAACCTGAAAACACGATCATAAGGACGCCGGTACTGGGTCAACCGAATGTAGAAGCGGCTCGATCGGGAGAACGGCCATACATAATTATACTGATGCCAGTACGAGTGGAGTAGGCGCTGCTCTCTGCCAAGAAGGCGACGACAAAATGATTCACCCACTGTACTTCGCATCGAAGCGGCTGTCCAGAGCTGAGGAGCGCTGTCACATCACTGAGTTGGAAGAGCTAGCCATTGTGTTCGCATTAAAAAAATTCCTTTTTTCCCGTGTTTGGAATGAAAACCATAGTGCGGACAAGCCACCAGCCACTCACGACCCTTTTTAAGAGGTCTAATGTGTCACCAAGGGTGATAAGGTGGGCCCTTGAAGTGCAGTCGTACCAACTCGAGATCGAATACGTAAAAGGGGAGGCCAATAAAGTGGCCGACGCATTATCAAGAGGACTAACAGAAATCGCGGCTGATCCACAAGATAACGCGGAACAGGTAAAAATCCGCAGAAGTGGGTGAAAACTGGTTGGAAGAACTCCAGCAGGATCCAACGGCGCAGTGATAGCTAAGATTAAGGAGGGTAAGCTCTGTGAAGAAGTGAGGTTACCGCAACAGGAGAGACCGCTCCGTATAGCCGACTTCTGTAACGACCGCAATAACCTGTGTTTGATCCTGGAAGACGGTACCACAACAAAGGTAGTACCGCACTCACGCAGGCGCAATCTTCGAAGAAGCCACGCAGGAGTGCTATCAGGGCACTTTAATGCACGCAAAATTTTCCAGAGACTGAAAAAGGTGGTATTCTGGGAAGGAATGCGTCAAGATATCGCTCTGTGGTGTAAACAATGCCGCGATTGTTTCTTGACGAACAACCGAAAAGACTATGTACCGTTCTCAAAGATCTACAGATAATGAGGCCGTTCGAAGTGGTAGAGGTGGACGTGTTGGAAGTTGGACTGTCGTCAAGCGGTAACAGGTACCTAGTCGTGGTCATCGACCACTTCTCGAAATGGCTGGCGGCGTATCCAACACCTAAACCGCAGAAGACATAGCTAGACTGTTATTTGCAGGTGGATCTGCGAAGGAGGCAGATGGCCGAAAACCGACCGTACTGTCGGACTGAGGGAAAGAGTTCGAAAATAGCGTGATGGAGGCACTTTGTGAGGTTTCAGGAATATCGCAGACCTTTACGAAGGGATATAACCCCCGCGAAAGAGCGAATCAACCCCTCTTAAGAATGCTGAAGAAAAGGGGAGGGATAACAGCAGAATGGGACAGAATAGTTCCCAATGTCACTTATGCGTATAACGTAAGCCCACATACCGC